TCTCTCCATAATTCATGCTGCTCCCCCCTCCCTCCTCCGTGCATACGGAGCGTGTCCGCCCTCACCCCTGATGTGAAGGCACATGATACCCCGGGCACCGACTGCACCAGACAAGGGCTCATCCAGCTGCAGAAGCCTTAAAATGGTGTTGAACCCCCTCCAAATGTCCCCCTGTGTGGGTACAGCTGGCACAGCGAGGGAGGGGGCGAGCAGAGGAGCAGGAGCCCAGGGCTAAAAGTGGCTGTTGACTTCACTCTCCCAGTTGGGTGTAGGTGGGGGAGGTGGGTGGCTGTGAGCAGCGGGAGGCGGAGGGGGCAGCAGCTATTTCCAGCTGCACTCATGTGCCATTTCTCTCCATGCTGAGATTTTATAGAAAACAGCAGGAGGTGGGAAGTGGGGGGAACCAAAAAGGAAAATCACAGAGTCTTTGCAGGAAAAACATGTTAAGGAACAGGGGAAAAGTTGTTACCATCATCACAGCCCTGAGATTCTGCTCTTGAAACAGAGGGGTTTAAAAATATAACAGAACCCAAGGCTACTGGGACTACTTTCCTGCAATGGACACAACAGCGTAGGATGGGAAATGAGGCCACTCGACCAAGGGGCACTGAAATGATGGTAAAAGCTGCTGTTTGCAGAAAGCCTCCTTCCTAATAAACTGCAAGGTTTTCTTCACTCCCAGAGATTATGTAATGTGTTCTTGCCTGCTGCTGACTCATATTTTCCAAAATATATCTGGGAAGGAAAACATATGCACGTGTTTTAATGCATAGGTTTCCCTGCCCGTGTAAAAAGAAGAGAGGAAGGTGCAGCCCTGCACACGCATGTGCACGTTGCCGTGTGCAAGGATGAGAGAGAGGGACAGTCGGGAATCTGCTCGACAAACACAGAGATTAAAGCAACACCGTTTTCTGGAGCAAAACACAGCAATTCTGGAACACAGTGTAGGAGGGGAACAAGGAACTGGGAAGCTACGGGGGGAGATGGCAAAGTAAGAAGCACCGAGCACGTGCTACGGACAACCTCCAGCCAAACCTGGGCTCTGGGCATGAAACACAGTCTCGTCCTGAGCTTCAAATCCAGCTGGGAAAATGGGGTTTGTGGCACTTGGAGCCACTGTGGCAATATGCAAATAGCAGTGGGCTGAGAGCACCACGGGGGTGGCCCAGCAGTGGCTCAGCAGCGCCCACCCCTGCAGAGGGGTGCTGGGGCAGCAGCACCAGCACTTCCCCAACTCCGTAAATCCACAGTCTCACTCCTGTGAATGCCTGTGAATACACGCCGGGTATGCACCGAAGAAGCCAGGCTTCTCCAGATTGAAGATTCATAATTCTAAGGCAGCCAGTAAGTCTTAAGCATATTTGTTCCCAGTCTGCAGGTTTGGGAGGTTTAGTTTCTTTGCTCTGTGTGTGTGTGCAGTTTTAATTCTTTAGGAAAGGCTTTCTGACACTTCTGCAAAACCCTCAGTACCCAGGAGATGGGATCGATCTGCTGCCGGGCATCAGATGAGAGATCCAGCTCCCCTGGACCAGAGGAGACTGAAAATCTATCCAGATGTCAACTCCTGATCATGAAATCAAGGCAGACAGTCTCCACCGACGACAGCTGAGTTTCCTTGCACTGCCTCCTCCTTGTGCCTGTGTGTTTGGGCAAAAGCAGGACACAATTCCCCAGTGCAGCTCCTTGTGCAGCAGAGACAGGCCCTCTCCTTCAGCATCAGTACACATATACACACATCCCAATACATGGGCACTATTGACATTCCCTGGCTTATTCATCCAGCTTTCCATATGTACAGCACCAGGGTAAGACAATTCAATTTTAACACCTAAAACCTCATCAGAGCCAACTGCCAGTTAAAGGATGCTCTTTCTTGTTTCACAACAACTTTAAAACGTTTCATCTGGATTCAAAACCTGTTCTGTAATTGCTACTTTTTAACTAAATTCATCTAGAACTTCACAAAAGACCAAAGAACATCCAGCCTGCCTAAAAGGCTTTGGAATAAAGCTTAAAAACAAACATTAAGGATTGATCGCGCTTTTCCAAGATTGTACTAAAACTGACTGAAGCTCAACTAGATAAGGAAAGAGAGTTGCATTAAATTAATCAGCACCTTATCAAGCCAGGAAGAAAGAACTGCAGATAACAAGCCTTCCCTAAATTTGGTATGAGAACAGGAACTTCAGCGCACGACGTACTGAGCAAACCTTGTCAGATATCCTGAATACAATGCAGGGGAGTGGAGCAGCAGAAATAGCAGGGGAATGTGGTCCAAAGAAATCCTTTGAAAAAATCTGTTTTCTGATAATGCCAGCAAGAGCCTGATGCTTTTGTCAAACGGAACAATTTTACTTGACTAAACTTTTCTACAGATATGCCCAGCAAATTAACCCACTGCTTATTGGGGTAAAAGACTGATCCTTAGGGGTTTGCTCTCAATTTCTACTTGTGTAGTTGAGGTCACATTGCATTTTGTCGATAACAAGAAAACAGTTCTGGACACAGTTCGGATCTTTGTTGCTTTGAAAGCCCTTAGAGTTTGACCAATTCCTCTCCTGGAATCCTTCAGGGTGAGCTGCAGCCACTCTCACCACTCTGAGCTCCCTTGTAGGGCCTTAAAAATCCAAAAGCTGGCACCAGGAGCAGCTTAGCCCTTGGAAAACAGACACTTCGGGGCAAACATCCCAACTCTGGAGAGGGAACTGATGTGAACAAACCCAGTTGGCAACATACAGGGATTTTTAGGGCCTGCCCGTGAGGCTGTGGGTTCTGTGGCACAGGGCACAGCCCAGATGCTCACGTCCCCATCACTCCAGGGAGGTCACCAGAGGAGGCAGGTGGGGAGCAGGGCTGGGGACAGCGGCCACTGCCTTGGGAGGCCATGGGATAGCTAGGCATGCTGCCTTCCCACCAGGAGCAGTGGGAAGGACACTCCAGCTTCAGTTCCCCCCTGGCAAAAGCACAGTCCCCCCAGGCATGCCCAGGCAGGGTGGTGACAGCACAGCAGCTTTCCCAGAGAAGGACAGGACGCCAGAGCACAGAGCTGTGCTGGGGCAGGGAGGTAATCAAACAAAAAATGAGCAGTCTAGAAATCAACTTTGGGCTTCAGCCAAAAAAAAATAAAAGGGAAAACAAAGGGCCAGGCTGCCTCACCCTGTGCCATGGCAATGGGGTGACTGCTCTGCCTTCGTGGCCGTGGCCCCCGGGCGGGGCTGCTGGCTGTCCCCGGCACCGGGGGGGTCGAGCTCTGTGCCCTGCCCGCCCTGGGCGGTCCCGGAGGGGGACAGCACCTCCTGGACCGGACCCGGCCGGCCGAGCAGAGCGCTTCGCAGTGCGGCCCCAGCCCCGCTCAGCCGCGGCTGCTGCCGAAAATAGCCCCGCGCTCGCTGCCAGCAGCCCATACTTGTGTTATATATGTCTCAGCTGATGCAAAGGAAGGGGCAGGCGCTGAACCACATGGGCCCTTCACATGGGCACGGGCACGCTGGGCTGCTCCCGGTGCCTGCTATGCCTGGGGCTCCCAAATCCTCCAGGGCAGATCCCCCACGACACCGGAGCAGCTCAGCCCACGGCCCCAGTGCCAGCCTGTCCCTCTGACACTGCCACACGGCAAGCTCTGGGTAAAACTGTACAAGCCAGAATGCAAACATCATGGCATGCCTTCCCTGCCTCCCCCACAGCCCCTGTGCCCTGCTCCTGCTCCCAGCCCCACAAACCCGTCTCACCACACATCTCTCCAACCTCCCGGCACTGTGAGGGCAGCAGGAGTAGCTCTCAAAGTAGCACATTTCTGTGAAATTTTCTGTAGGGATAAACCAGAGTCGGTTGAAATCCAGACCTATTTCTTTAAATACCTTCCTGCACATGCTCCCTTTGCCCCCTAAAACTCTTTAGTTCAGGTGGTGAAGCTTTTAGGCCTGCCCAATGTGTTCATTAACAGCAGAGCTCTGGGGGCTTCCTGCCCTGAGCTCAGATGCCGTTGTGAACACACCATCTGAAAATAAGGGAGTAATACTCTACGAAAACTGGGAATAAGGAGTGAAGGCTGCATGGCCCTTTGGTGGTGAGGAGGCCAGCAGGGTTAGAGCCAACCTGGCCCTCTGTGGGTACTTGCAGATTAAAACTCATTTCCACTCAGGAAAGAAATCCAACCACAACTAATGAAATAAAGAAAATAAATCATGGTTCCTCCAGCAGCTCTTCCTCCAGGAGCATCTATTTTTAGTGAGAAGCATCAATCACTACAGTTTGCTGTCTACGACAGCTCCAACAGGCAAAATCTAGCTAGGCTGGGCCAACGTGGGCACACACACGTTGCCCACCTGTCCTGCCATTCCCCCACCGACCAGCCAGAACACCACCACAGAAAGGGGAGAAACAGGAGTCCATTGGTCTTGGCTGCTCCAAGGTACTGGATGATGTTCCTTTTCCCCATGTGGGAAAGAGGAGGCACAAGGCAACAAAGGAACGTGCCCAAGGCCATACAGTAAGTCAGTGGCAAAGCCAGGACCAGGCAGAATTATCCTCTGTAACCCCTGAACAAGCGCTCTCTTCAAACAGGCCAATTCTTACACAACTATTAACATGTGGGAGTTTTCCTCAAGCTTCCCAACTTCTGGTCACTGGAGACTCCGCAGCTAAGAGACAAATCGCTGTGTTCTACCAAAATAGCTCTGCCAGCATTTCACTGGGAGAAACGGATTGAACACGATTATCACACCCAGCTAAGAAAATACACATTGCAAATACAAAATCCAGGACCCCCCTCCCCGACAGACAGAGATGCATCATCACAGCACAGAGCACAAGGATACAACACAGCATTGCACACACACACATGCACCAGGCTCCACGGAGCACAACCAGCATTCCCTGAACGCACAAACCAAGGACCACAACGAAATGAAATGACAATACAGAGAGGAGTTCTAGTCACAAATTAAAATAAAACCAACCAAAAAAAAAAAAAACCAAAACAAAAACACCAACAAACTTACATGGATTTTTGGCAATTTTCCTTCAGACATTATACACAGCAGCTGGGCTGTGTACTGAATACCTGATCCGAAAAGAAATATAACCACATTATGCAAACAGATGGGGGTAGAAGTCAGGTGAACATGCAGCTCAACAACACTCATCTATGGGCTGAGAAAGCACCTCTGCATTCCCACAGAAGGGCTCAGATCGGGGCAGATCTTCATTCACTACAAAGCAAGTGCTGTGCTGCTGCCATCCTGGGGAAAATCCAAATGGCAGGACACAGCAGAGCCATCGCGTCAGAGACCTCTGAGCGGTCCCGTCCCCTTTAACTTGTCATGCGAGCTTTAACACAGAGGTGGGAAATATCCAGGGTGGGGGAGGAAGCCTTTAGAAACCCAAAAGGAAGCCCTTTATCAGCCCTAAAGAAAGAGCATTAAAATCACTGTGCAGGCAGGACCAGCCGAGATCATCCCAACACGTCAGCTTGCCGGGAAGCACCCAAAGAGGGGGACATCACCCACATCACCCTTTCCCCGTGGTGAGGGGGGTGTTTGAACCTTTAAGACGGTGGACTGCCGTTCAGGAGGAACGGACTTTTTATGGACTGTGGGAAACAGGGTTGCTATGATACAGGCAGAGGCGTTTTCATGAATCCTGTGGCAAATAACATTGAATCCTGCTTAAGCAGACAAACAGCAAGGCAGGTCTCCCCTCACCCAGTCTCAGCAAACACACAGCAGCAAGCACTGAAAGAGATTTTATGCATTATAAATATGCTATTTGCAGACAAATGATTATTTTTTTTCTTTGGGGCCACATTTTCCAGAGGGTCAGTGCTTTGGTTCCTTAAAGGGAACGATCCTTCTTCCTCATCCCTGGGCTTGAGTGTCCTCACAAATGGGAAGAACTCAGTGTTCACAAACCCAGGGGGAGTCACAGGGGTAAACTACTTCCAGGAACCCGACTGTGACCAGCCACGGGCATGACCCGGATTGTCCCACAGAGCTCAGGGAGAAGGGAAGCTCCACTGCATGGAGATGTTTCACAGCGTGCAAATGACACCCTGAATTTTGCAAGCACAGTCACTTACGAGCACGGGGGATCTACCACAAGCCACTGGGACTGCTGTCACCCCAAAAAGCTCCTAACGCAGGATGTCACAGACGGAGCTGCTCCTGAAAAGCATGGCAAGACGGAGTTGTTTCAGTGGCTCCTCGCTCCTGCAAAGCCAGTGCTCCCAGGCTCCGCTGCAGCCCCGGGAAACGCCAGGCTGCAGGGGCAACACCACCCAGTGGGGCTGGGGCACGTGGCTCAAGGCCCACTTGAGGAGGTAGTCACTGAGGCCTGGGGTGGGAAACGGAGATCAAACCAAACAAGCACCAAGCTCAGCCCTTGCTCGCTCTTTAATTTCCTCTCTTTCCCTCAAAATTCCAACGGGAAGCCTGAAATGACAGGAACGGTGCTGCTACAACAGCAAAGTTTTGCTGCGCCCAACTTTCACATTGCTCTACATTAACTTTTGTTCTTTAACTCCACCAGCCTTTGGGAGAATAAAAGGCAAAAAGTTGTAATAAAATTAATAAGTTGTAATAAATTAATTCTCTCAAGCATGTTCCACAACGGGAAAAACTCGTCTCGCAGCGATCCCTCCCCAGCAGCTGAGCATGCACGGCCCCTCGTCCTCCCCATGCACCCCACAGATCCCACACAACTCCATGATGGAACCAGAGGGGTTGGCAGGGATGAGCCGCTGGACACGGCAGTCCCAGCACATCCACACACTTCCCAAAGATCTCCCCACAAGTACAAGCTCTGGATCAAGGAATGCACTGGGCACTAGGAAACCGTGCCAGGTATGGAGCATTCCTTGTAGAAATCATATTGAAAGGTAAACCTTCATGCCAGAGAGCCAGCCCTGAGAAAATAAACATTCAGGCACAGCCACAGCCCATTGGAACTCACTCGTTAGTTTTGGGGTTGGTTTGTTTCTCTCATTTTTCCAAACTTACTCCTCAAATTCCTATGTCACTTAAAGCTGTTCCCCTGAAAGGATGTTTTTGGCGGCTGTTTGATCGATTCCCTCTCCATGGCGATCTCAGCTCATTTATTACATTTCTAGGAGATTCTGCAACCTATAAAACTAATGACAGAGGATGGCTAACAGGCAAATAAAGCAAATTTGAGCTGTTTAATGACCCAAACCATCCTCAGCATCAATTTTATTTATTTTGTTTTTTTTTTAAAGAAGATTGACTCAGTCTCCTGTGAAGTGCTTGAAGCCAGTACCTCTTGCAGACAGCTACAAGTGAAGAGGGGGAAACGGAGCCAGCAGGCACCAGAGCATCTTCCTGGGCTTGTATCCCTGGATCCTAGTTTTTCTCCCCATTAAAATGGGCTACTGCCCCTGAACACTTCTGGTCATCTTTGGGGGCCAGTTGTTACCACCCCAGGACCCAGGGAAAAATTTTTTTCTCTTTTATTTACAACTAAAACCACTTTGAAATTGCCAGATTTGGAGGATTTAACTCAATTTTCCAGCCAGTCAAAAAGCAATTGGCTCCCGAGCCCAGCTCAGCATTTAACTCACAGCAGACAGACCCTCACAGGGAAATAACTCCACATCTCCATCTACTAGCTCCAGCTTTGTCTTTATGGATCAGTTACATGATTTTTTTTTTTCCTCCCAATTAGTAGAGGACATCAGATAAATAACAGACAGCTGGAATTAGCACAAACTAGTTAAATTATCAAGGCAGTAAAATTTCAGTGATCATCAGCAAGAGATGAAAACATTTTCAAACTGATTTTTTTTATTTGTTTGTTTTGAGAAATTCTGATTTTTCTGGAGGGGAAAGTAATATATAGAAAAAATCCTTAACACTTCTAACAGAAGCACGGTACAGAGACATATTTTCAAGAGGAAAAGACGTTACTCTTTTCAGACATCTCTTTCATATTCTCTCCAAACTTCACATGCTGTCACTGGAGCCTCCAGCCAGCCCTGCTTCCAAGCTGTAAACATTGCAATTTTGGTCTAGAAGCACCTCTAACTAGTGGACACCTCTCCAGCAAGCCTATAATATACAACTTAACACTTCATTTTCAAGAAAAATCAATGTAAATAAAGTCACGCACAACAACCCATCTCAAAAGCTCGTTATCCTGGAGGTGCTCAAAGATTTTTCTTACATACATTCCCAAAAATTATATATAAATATATATATATACATATATATACAGTCACACATGAAAGAAAAGAAAGGCAAAATCAGATTTCTAGAAAATCAAAGCCAAATCCAACCCTTCCGTATCTGTTGCTTTAGCAAAGAATAACACAGCTTGCATTCCCCTTTTCCCCTTTGATCCCTCCTTCCCAATTTGCAGAGACAGAAACCACATACAACCAAAATAAAAACCCAGCAGGTTATGTTTTGGTCCCTCTCACATCTTTAAAGAAAGGAGCTGGGTTACATCAGTGTGGATGTAGAATTTGGAGGCTTTAGGGCTGAATACTGAGAAATCAAGTCAGATCATCAAGGCAACGCAGATAAATACAGTAAGTAGAATTTCTCTTTTTTTTTTTTTTTTTTTTTTTTTTTTTTTTTGTGGCTGAATTTTTTTTAAGCAAAGATTTAATCCTTTAATAGGATTTCTCACCCCACCCCCCCCCCCCCCCCCCTTTAAAAATGTCCAGAGCTCAATTCCATTGCACACACCACCATCTCTCACCTGGCACCTACACGGTTACTCTCACAGACATTGCACATTAACTGCTTGCTAGAAATTGCACACAAAATGACTTATTATTAACTTGAGCCTCTATTTCAAAGAAAGCAAAACAACACAGCCATTGCTCACCACAGACAGATATTTCCACTCTGCTTCTACCTAAATAAGTAGAGCCCTATCTCACCAGCACAGCACCAGAGCAGAATGGATCACTGTTATTATTTATCACATTTAAAACCCAGGCAAAAGCAGCTACACTTACAGGCATACTTAAAAGACAAGACATGACAAAAGATTTAGGGAGAGATAATATACCAACGTCATACATATCACAGCGAGGCCATGTTGAAGCTCAACGCGTTTCCCCCCTCAGTAAGAAATCTCTCTCTCTCTTTCTGTCTCTCTCGTCTTTCTCTCTCTCTCTCTCCCGCTCGTGCTCTCTTGTTGAATTGCTAGTGGTAGTAGTAGCCCCCAACAGCTCAGGAGAAAAAATCCATTTAACGAGTGCCCAGGAAGAACATGAGTATGACATTCACAAGCAATAGCACCACAATCACTGCAAAAACGACCACCGTTTGAACATCCAAGGTCATGGTGCAATGCAGAACACTGTAGTGTTCGAGGTGTGGGGCTGGCAGATTTGGAGAAGTCAACCTCTGCTCTGTAAGACTGTCCATACATCCACCATGCTAGAATAGAGGAGAAAACTGTTCCTGGTTTTGGGTTGGCTCGTAATGCTTTGTGCTCTGCCTTAATTTCTCCCCTATCTGCTGTCTCTAGCTCATTCTGAGCCCGCTAAGTGAAGCATCATCACAACCAGTGAGCACTTGGGATGTAAAAATCCTTCCTTTAGGAAAAGAGCGAGCGCTGTCTGCAAGCTTCTCTGTCTGTCTCGTCCCCCCTGTCTCTCCCGGTCTCTCTCTCGCTGGCTGGCTGGCTTTTTAATTCAAGCCAGTGCAGATACGGCGCCCGTGTGAGTGTGACAGCTCCGCGAGCGGCTGCGGCTGCATCCCTCGGAGCGAGGCGGACCCTGGCGCATACTAATCAGCTCCAGTGACCAGGCAGCGAAGGGATCCTGGCTGTCACTCAAACGCAGGAGGAAGCGCTGGCTCCATAAATACGCGAGGCTTCCGCCCGCCGTGCCAGCGAGCGCCACGCAGACATGTCTCTGTCTCTGTCTCTGTCTCTGTCTCTGCCCTGCGCTGCGGGCGGGCAGCGCCGCGCGGGGCCGATGCGGAGCTCCGGGAAGGCGCTCCCAGCTTCCCGTGCCGCGCACAGCCCGCTCCTCGCCGCCTTTGTACGGCGGGGCCGCGGCCGCACCGCCTGCGCCGAGCTTCCGATGGGAAACTTGAACACCCGAGCTGCTGGGAGCCTGCTCAGAGCGGGGAGGGGAGCGAGAGCGGGGAGAAAAGCAGCCAATGTAACAAATAGGCAACCCTTGGTAACCTGGAAATTCAGTGTGAGCCTGAAATGCGGGGATTTGGTAGGGGGAATCACGTTTTAGCTCTGTACAGAATCACTGAATCTCAGAGTCAACCAGGCTGGAAAAGACCTCTGAGATCATTGAGTCCAACCTGTGACCCAACCCCACCTTGTCACCCAGACCATGGCACTGATGCCACATCCAGTCTGCCCTTAAACAACTCCAGGGATGGTGACTCCACCATGGACAGCCCATTCCAGCTGGGCAGCCCATTCCAATTCCCAATCACACTCTCTGTAAAGAATTTCTTCCTAATATCTAACCTAAACCTCCCCTGGTGCAGCTTAAGTCTGTGCCCTCTTGTCCTACTGCTGGTTGCCTGGGAGAAGAAACTGAATCCCCCAGCTACAATCTCCTGTCAGGGAGCTGTAGAAAGTGAGAAGGTCTCCCCTGAGCCTCCTCTTCTCCAGGCTTAGCCCCCCCAGCTCCCTCAGCCTCTCCTCACAGGGCTCCAGAACAGTACTACGCACATCACCCCATCACAAATCCATACAGTCTCTCCCCTCAGCACTGCACTGGGTGTCTCCACGCTAAGAGTTAAACTGAATTCGGAGATCTATAAAAGGGGGGAGGACAGATGGAGGATCTTTATTCCTTCTATAGCAGCCAGAAAAGCTCATTCCTACATTACAATCACACACACTCAGTTTATAGTCCAGGTGCCAGGTGCTATCCCAAACCTCAGTCTTAGATCCCAGCACCAGCAGTTACCTTGGAGAGGCATCACAATACACACAAAACAGATACATTCAGCTGGAAAAAGCAAATGATTTTCCAGACAAAGACAAATATAGAAATGCTGCCAATGCATATGCATAAAGCACTAAAATGCGCAGCCGGGGGTTGAGCACAGCACCTTCCAGGAAACCTGCGCCTCCCAACTCCCTGGCACTTCACACACAGACACGGGGCCAATGTGCACCAAACAGCCACTGAACTTGTTCTCCAGCAGCAAACTAAAGTCTGGAAGGACTTTAATGTTTAAACGTGGACAGGGAATGGGGTCGGCTCCAACGAGAGGCAGCCTGTCCTTCCAGGGCACCAGCATTCGGGGAAGGGACAGGGAGGTTATGCTCATACCCCACCTCACCACTCAAACCAACACTAAATCCATCTGTTCACTGCAAGGCTTAGCTTTATTTTATTTCCTTTGCTAGTTGGGTTGCCGGAGGGCTCACTTAAAAGGAGGAGGCTCCTATATCCACCTCAAACACCATGGAGGGAGAGCATGTCATGTGGGCGAGGACTGGGCCTCCATGGAGCCTCCCTCCTCGGCCTCCACTCAGACCTGTGCAAGACCTACACTCCTCAGCCCCATTCTCCTCTTCTCTGACCAGCTCTGTAGCACACGTGGGCCATGATGTGTTCACAGATGCTGAAGGTGAGCTGTGTTGAGCACAGTGGAAATAAGAACACTTTGGTTCCATCAGATGGTTTCTTCTCCTCTCTTTTTTATTTTGTGGGAGAAGTACCAGCCAGAGGTTGTCTCGAGCACCTGAGCCCCCTGCTCTGTTCAAGCAGAGAGTTTCTTATTCAGGAGGACAGTTAAAGGTCATTTTTCACCTGCATATTTACAAAGAAGTTACTTTAAAGCTGCCCTGTTAGCACATGTGCCAGGCTGTATCCAGGTCACCAGCTTCCAGACCTGCATTCCCTATCAAGTATCCAGTTTTAGGACAGTCACTCTGTCTGATGCAATTTTAGACTAACCAGAATAGCAAACAGAGAATCACAGAATGGTTTGCGTTGGAAGGGACTCTGGAGATCATTTAGTTACAACATGTAACAGATATGGAATATTTACTATTGCTACCATCCTTTCCCAAAACAATATATGCAATTTTCCGAAACCCAAACCTGAACTCACCCTAACATCCAGAAAATTCCAGTTTCTGTCTCAGAAATAAGTGACCTCTCCAAAACATACAACCAGCCCAGATTTAGAGGCATCTTTACAGCCAGTTAATGTTTTCCTCTAAACTGTGATGAGAGCAGAGGGAGCCTGGGTCTGGAACCCAGCTCAGGCTCAGCCTTACTGTTAGAGGAAGCCCAGTGGAGATGTTCTACTGATCCACACAGCCCCGAGGGCTTGCAGACCCTCTGCAGATACAGCCCATCCTTTGCTCTGTGTGTCCTCTCATTGCCCAGAACGGGAGGCAACGAGTGCAGTTCCAAGGCAGACTCCTCTGAGCCTTTGCACACAGCTAGGGGAGCAGAATCGGGGCAGGTACGAGCACGGAGGCCTAAGAAATATCCAGAACAAAGGTGCAGCGATCACACATGCTCACAAGCTACTTCCGTAGCTGAAAGGGAGGGTTTCATTGCGAGCACTGCCAGGCAGGGCTCGGGCAGTCCCTCAGCACGAGCTGAGCCACTCACAGCGCATGGGAGGGCAGAGATGCTAAAGACAGGCTTTACAAAGCCAGCCCCTCCTGGGGCCGTCTACCAGCCGCGGGCAGGGGGTCCCCAAAACCCCCTCCCCAGTACAGCCTGAGCATCGCGAGCAGCTGCAGGTGAGGGGCGAGCTCAGTGCTGGGCTCCTGCCTGCAGGGGCTGGGGGGCTGCTCCAACCACAGCATCCCTGTTCCCCAGGTCACACTCCAGAGCAAACACCCCAGCAGATCAGGCAGGAAAGCACCAGGTGCCTCACCTCACACAGGTACAGATACTGGGCTCCAGTGGAAGCTATGTGTGTAACAACCACTGAGAGTGAGCAGCACAAACAGATTTACTGCAGAGAAGCTTCTACTTAAATGATATTCACAGTATTCCCAATAGTACTTGCTGCTTTATATAATTTCCTATGCCTCCTGCGTGCACTAAATGTTAATTTTACTACAAAAGTGGATGATACCGTCTCTTGGAAGCCTCTCTGAAAAAGAACACCTACACAGCAGGGGTTTATATAAAACCACCGCAGAGTTTAACTTCATGTAATGCTTTCTGGGAAGTTTAGTCTAACCTCCTGCACAGAGTGAAACCGAGGAACGAGATGATAAGATCTGTACTAGTTATACAAAACACCACGTCCCTCACAGTACAGCACATGCCCTGACACTACAGGAGATTTGGGGAGCACAATTTGTAATGCAAGTTGAGCGAGGGCTCTGCTGTAAGAGAAAGGAGATTTTAACTTCAGCACCTCTCCAGCGGGATAGCGATCGGGGAGGAGGCACGGCTCCCACTCACACATCACACCCGCACATCTCTACGTAAGCATAAATCACAAATCTGATAGACAAATATGTAGGGATAGCGCATTCTGGACACCCAAATAACAGACAGATCAGAGGGGCCCTCCACTAACATTAATTACAATATGGTAATTTTGGGGCAAGCCTATGAAGCAGATGATGCCAAATCCTTCCGAGCGTAACACATCGGGCTCAGCCTTGTGACCACGTCTCCCTCCAATGGATGTCTCCGGCAATTAGCACATCCCACTCCTTCCAGCTCAATAAATACAGCTCTAACTCAGCAGCCAGGATTTGCAACTGGAATGCTGACAGGTCCTGCATCCCACTCCCAATGACAGCTACATGATCTGGCAGGGCAGTCCAGGGGCGTGTGGCAGTCCAGGGTTTCAGTTCCTGTGCAGATAAACAACCTTCAGTTTTGGACATGCAGAGGCATCTATGTTTTCCCAACACATCAGCTCCACCTTCCATTAACTTCAAAAATGAGCCACTCAATGAAGATCCAGAGTATTCCAAGCATACCGCCGTAGGAAGTGGTGTGGCCAAGCTCCGGGATTTGGCATGAGGACCCCAACTCTGCCCATCACTTGGCCAAGTCTCTTGGTGAATTTGGGAGAATTTCAAACAAATCACAGGGTGGTTCATGATTCTGAGTGGGTCTGGACAGATGAAACCCGTGGACATAGGGAAAACAGCTGCCATCAATCATCAGTCCAGAACTGCATCGGCTTGTTTATGTTCCCTCTTGGAGCAAAAGCCTCACCCCAGACCTATATGGCAACATGAAGGAAGTTTAAACTTTTAATTTGAATTAATACTGCCCCCAAAAAGGAACAGACAGCAACAGTACTCAGGGATATGTGGGCAGGAGACAGGCTCCTCCATTCCCAGTCTCCTGTGCTGGGCACTCATGGCCTGCGGCCGTGACATCAATGGGGGTGTGAGTGCTGGCCTCCATTAGAGATTATGAGAAGACCATTAAATTAAGTTGGTTTCTTTCTAAATCTAGGCAGGAATTAAGCTGGGGGGTTGAGAGATTAAAGGCCAGTGAGATTATGATTTGCTGCTTCCAAAAAGGAGGATTTCCTTAAGCTGGGAGTTGCCTCTTTTTCCCTTCTCTTCACAGTGAGTGTGACAGAGCCCCCTTCTCCATCCTTTGCCAGAATCTCCATAATCTTGTACGTTTATGGAATGGCTTCCTGGGAAGCTTTAAAAAGTTCCAAATGCCTAAAATTCCTTATCCAAACTGCAAAATGGGAGGAATATCTGTAAAGACTTGGACTCAGGGATTGGATTTTTGTGGTTAAAAATTACCTTTCCCGTCACCCCAGTTCCTTGCCTGTCCACTCCATCCCTCAAATGGAAAGCTTCCTCACTGTACGTGAACTTGGAACTTTTTCCAATAACTTCCTCCTTCTAAACTGCCTAAGAAAAGGCTGAGTTGAGAGCCAGCAAAGCAGTGAAATGGGAGAGAAGGTGGATGTGGGAGAGAGCAGAGTAAGACCCCTTAAGCAAGCTGGGAGTAGCAAGGTTGGGAGTGCTGGCAAAGAGAATAAGTTAATTTTCTAAGCCCACTTCTGTTTGGGGAA